GATATAAAAAAAATAATAAAAAATAATTTTTCTTCTTTGGTTTTCTTTATAAACAAACACAAAAAATGGCCCCCCCCCCCCCCACTCCCACTGGTACTGACCAAAGTATTCCTCATTGATTTTACTTCTATGGACAAGTAGGCTTTGGCCGCCACCCGGGCGAAATTCAAAATTGTGACCAAACTGAACATGTTTAATGTGTCTCGTGCGCTCATATGATCTTATCCAGTTGCGAGTGCTGTAAAACACTTCCCTAAACAAACTAAAATAAACTGACCCCCTATCAGGGGTTTGAGCCGCGGGCCGGACGTTGTGTCCTTGGGAAAGGCACTTTACATGAGTTTTCCTCGCTTCACCCAGGTGGAAATGGGTACCCGGCCATAGACAGCGAAAGATCTTGTCAGTATGTTATTGTTTTAGCACCTATAAATGGCTGCTTGCACTGTATGCTTCCCAGGAAGTTGAGTTTGTTTCAGAATGCTCTCAGGTCTGCTGGGGTAATAGTATAGATTGTGAAGCGCATAGAGCTTGCTGTTGAGCGGAGATTTGTGCTATACAAATGTTATCTATTATTATTATTATTATCATTGTGTCCTCAGTTCATCAAGGAGTTAGGACCTGGAGTTGAGTCGGTCTTTGAAATGTTCCTCTCCATGCTCACAGACTGCCACACTACTCTGGCCTTCAAGGTGAGAAACTAAATTTTATCTCCCCCCCCCCCCCTCTATTTGACCCTGCATTTTGTTAATCCTTCTCCCTTTTTCTTGTTGTTGGGCTGTAGCCTTCCTCCCCAACCCCCCTCCTCCCCCCTTCCTTCCCCCACCCCCATTCCCCTTCCTTCCCCCACCCCCCTTCCCCCACCCCACCCCCACCCCCACCTGCATCCTTCAGTCTTTATTTTGTGCCCTTTTTGGTATTTTTCTCGTTGTCCTTCTTTTCTTTGTCTCCTTCCTTTCAGGTTCTTTTTCATCTCTTCTCTCTTGCCCTTTTTTAACTCCCAGTGGCGCACAGGCCATCAACAACATTACTCCAGCGAAGCCTGTCCTGTGCATCCTTTTCTATCTGTTTCCATGATGTCCCCGCTTTTTTAATTTCCGCTTGTACCGCTCGCCTCCATGTCATCTTTGGTCTTCCCTTCTTACGCTTTCCTTGTGGGTTCCACCTGGTTATTTTTCATTGGTGTTTGTTATTTTGTGATGAGCTGTGGGGAAGGGAGATTTTGGGGGTGGTGAGAGGGGGGGGGGGGGATGGGTAGGTTTGGGGAGAAGAAATTCTTCAAGAATGGTCGATAGGAAAAAGAAAATGGCCTTCAGATATTCTCTTACCCTTTTTCAAAGTGGAAAGATGCCTGCCATTAAAATCTTTTTTTTTTCAAATTTCCAAATGCAAAATTTACAATATGAAATAGTTTCATTAGTAAAGACCATACTTTTATTTCTCATATTTAATCGATTGATTTTCCGTTGTGCTTCTCTGCTTTCTGTTTTGTTTGTGTGTAGTGAGTACATAGAATGTGGGTGGTTGGCGGGTGCTCTGGTGTGGTTTGCTCTTTCTTTCCTATCAAACATCTATTGTGGGTGGTTGGCGGGTGCTCTGGTGTGGTTTGCTCCTTCTTTCCTATCAAACATCTATTGTGGGTGGTTGGCGGGTGCTCTGGTGTGATTTGCTCCTTCTTTCCTATCAAACATGTATTGTCCTGATCTCTCTTCCTTCTTTTTTTGTGTTTGTTACTCTCTTGTAACACCTCTAATCTTCGGCACTTATATGACTTTATTGTGTTGCAAGTGCCGTAAAACTCTTACTAAAACAAAAACTAAGAATACATAGAATACTTTTTTGTTTAATGTTGATATGGAACGTTTCCGTTTTCCTTCTCCTCTTTCAGAACCAAGTCCTGGACCTGTTGCCTTTCTTTGTTACCTTGAAAGGGGAACAGTCGAGCAAAGTCATGTACGTAGCTCTCTCGCACATTTTTCTTTTCAAGATTTATTGCACATACTTACCTTTAACCCCTTCGAGTGTGTGGTTGGCGGGTGCTCTGGTGTGGTTTGCTTCTTCTTTCCTATCAAACGTCTATCGTATTTATCTCCCCTCCTTCTTTTTTTGCGTTTGTTACTCTCTTGTAACACTTCTAATGTTCAACACTTACATGACCTTGTGTTGCAAGTGCCATGAAACACTCACTAAAACTAAAACCCCTTCGTTGTTGAGGTCCTGGTGTTCCAGGTGGGTCGACGCGTTCTGCAGCTGTCGTCTCGGTTTGTCGGTTGGTAGACTGACATCCTTCGGCAACAGCTGGCGGGAGCACCATCTTGCAGGCTCGTCGTTCGCTCCCAAAAGTGTCCCCCACACTGTTCCTTGTCTTCATCGATGATATTGAAGCAGGCCTGCCTGAAGCCGTGAAGACGGGACTCTAT